TTTTTTTTAAGCTCCCTTTTTTTTCGCTGTTGTTGCTGTTTTATCACACAAATTTGTTTTTATATCTAGCCATTCTTCACTTTTTTCGGGTTTAAAGGCGATGCAAACAAAAAATAAATAAGAAGAAGAATTACAGCATTTTCGACGTTTACACAGTTCAGCAAGCAGAACAAAAAGAAAAAAAAAAACTAAAAAAAGAACATTGACAGTATGCTAAAAAACTTCAATGAAAAAGACAGTAAAAATCATCTTAAGAAAAAGGGGAACAAATATTGTCGGCAATCCTTTTTCTTTTGCTTTTCAAATTAACCCCCTTCTATCTCAAGAAAAAACCTAGAAAATGCCCATATGATATCAGAAAATGTTCTCTTTACCAGCGTTCCATTCCTTCCCCTTCAACCGACCAACACATATGACCAATTTTTTTTTGTCCGTTCTCATCCAATTTTATTGCCTCAACCATTCAAAGCACCAAAAATAATAAATTTTATCTGTCTCTCTTCCCCCTCCGTTAAATAATATATACGCATAGATTTTCCATAAATATTATTGTCCATTTTTGAAACATTCGAAAAATCCTCCTCTCTACTTCTCCCTTACCCTTAAAACAAAAAAAAAAGATAAATTATCCCCTAGCAAAAACAAAAAAAACCTACTTCATTCTATTTAAACAGTACAGAAACATACAGTACTTTCAATATCATCAATACCGCAAAAAAAAGTCATCAGAAAAGTTGATGTTTTCTTGGGTTTCTCAACTTTATCAAGTCCAACTCTCACCCTCACTTCCGGCCGTCATTAACACACCTGTTATCTGCTGACGACTCCAACAAATAGGTAAACAAAAAGAAAAAAAGGATTTTTCAACGTTTTGTTATACATTAAAAAATGAAGAATTAGTTCTTTTACTGTTGTTTTTTTTCCTTCATTTTTACCCAATATTATCCATCACTCCTCTAATTGTTTTTTTTTTTTGTCTTAAGCATTTCTTTTTTATTACTTTTATATCAATACCATTGTACAGAAATCTGCCGAGAATAATATCTGCTGTCTCTGTATTCTCATACACATCAAGTAACAATAAAACTGACAATAATAATGATAATAATAATAATGAGGGTAATAATAACAACAACAATAACGATAACAATAACGATGAAAGAAGAGAACAGGTGTTGGAAGTTAGCAAAAAAACGAGAAATAAAAATAGTCCTGTCCTGAGGTTAAACCAAAAAGTAAAATTTTACACAATTTTTGGTGATCTAAGATAATTGAAACTATTCAACAGTCATTGATAGAATTTAATAGGAACTATCCAAATGTTGTAATATCAATAACGAAAACTGTGTCCCCCACAAAATGGCTTGCTGAAAAACTTGAGTAATTTCTTGAAAACTTTTTTTTTGTGTAAAATATAATGCATATCGCCTTAATTATCACCACCGATTTGAAGCGGTCTCTTTATGCCAATCAAATAAACTGAAAAAAGCTGAAATTTTTTTTTTTTTTTGTTGAACAATTTTCAGTGAATTTTATTAATCATCTGTTCAATCAAAAAAAAATTCTTTTTTTCATTACAGCGCTAAGTGTTACCATTATACGGTGATTAGTGACCATCAAATTTTTCAATAGAACAGTTACACTTCCTTTCGTAAACTTTCTGCTTTCTGCCTCCGCCAATCATTTTTTTCTTTTCTTTTTCGGTTCTTTTCAAATTTGACAAAAAATTAAAAGACAACAAAATCAAAAGAGAAATAACAAAACAAAGCAAAAAATAAAAACAAAAAACGTTGCTTTATCTGCTTCATAAACATTTTATAGCCCTTTGGTTTTATTACAGCAAAAAAGCAACAATAGCCGAACAAAAATATATCTCAACACAATCTTTAAACATTAAAACTTTAATTTGTTCTTTGCCTTTTTCTGTTTATTTTGATATGATACTTTTTAAATCGTATTTTTTTCAAAATGCTAATCAAAAAACGATTCCTCCCAATTTACTCTTCCTGGCAATATTTATTCTTGGAATTTAATTCCATTCTTTTTTCGTTTTAACTACAGAATACTATTTTACCAATAAATAATAGCAAAATCATCTCGATAGTAATAGCATTATAAACCCCTGTAAAAACAATAATAACTATAGTGATAACGATGATTATAATTATAATTATACTTGCAAGTAATACATTTCCACTGTAAGTATTGCTACTAATATTATTAGGAATGAGCGACAGAAAGTGTGAATTGAGAGGCAAAGAAATGGTATAAAAAAAGGGTAAAAGTCAAAAATTTTAAAAAGGACTTTTCCTTCTAATTTAGAAGCAGAAAAGAAACTGCCATTCTCATATTTTTAGCTGCAGAGACAAACAGTCAGTGATTTGAAAAAGGGACAGAAATTGGGTATTGTGCAGGTATCGCTAAGACAAATTCGAACCAACAGTTCTTCTGATGGTTTCAGTCGGCCAACGGAAAAGCATCAAAAAAAGACATTTCTTTTAACTTGCAAGCCATCCAAAAAATTACCTACTAAAGTTTTTTTGCTCTTTTTTGCAAAATTTTTTCTTACATTATACTCAAATTAAATGTCGAATAAAGCCAAGAAAGGAGAATAGCACAGAAAAAGGACATCAGAGAACAGACAGTTTATAGTAAAGAAAATAAAGCAAAGAAAATCCGTTGAAAAAAGTACCAAAGAAATATACATATGTATATATGCC